TGTGGCTTTTTTTTTTATATATATAAATACAGCAGTCCATAACTTCTGTTTACCCACAATCCAGTAATAAAGAATCACTGCTTATCCAATCTTTGTATACACTTCATTTGACTGAACCAAAATGAATAGTGTGGCTATGGAAATATACCAACAGTTTTTATTAGGCAGGCAATTCTGATGGGCTGCAAATAAAGAAATATATTTTTTAAGATTTAAATTTCATACTTTGAACCTGTACAAATTAGAGCAGTGAAGTGGGCAATCATGTAGCTCAAACAGTTCAGTTCCCTGGGAATGCATGAACTGATCAAATATTTCTTGAATGCAAAGAAAGTGCAAATATATGAATGTTAATCGGTTTCATTCATTAGTTTAGAAATTAATGCAAAGCAATCATGTTTATAAATATGTCATGTTTAATAAGAAAGGGCTTTTATTTTGCACTGTGCCATACTTGGATGGACTTTTCTAATTGTAACACATTTGATTTTTTTTTTTCATTGAGCTGCATAAAATATATCAATTTCAAAAACTTCATTTATTAAAAAAAACCTACATTTAAAATGTAAGATGTCCCTAACATCTCTCTATATCTCTATGTAGCTGTTTGATTTGTTCAGTGTGCAATTCCACAGATCATAACACATAATTTAAGCAAAGTTTTAATCATTTAAATTGTACATTTTTAATGTGCTCTGACAGATTTTGTCACAGACTACAAAAGCCATAAAATAAGACTCAAGTAGGTGTAATTTATACTTATTTAAAATTATAATTACAAAAGTATATCATGATTTCATAATGATTTATCACTAGTAAACATCACATGCATGTGAATCATAGTACAAGAGTTACTACAAAAGATCCAACAAAAATAGATATCCATTATCATTTCAACATTGAACAATATTATCCAGTGAACAGAATGATCCGTATTGATGGTCAGCAGAGGGATTTCATCACTTTCTGCCTTATGTCATGCTGTTGTGCTTGTCAAGTGAACTCTCTGATAACCTGGAGAGAAATGTCTTCTTTGGAAAATATTGCAGAATTCCTCTCTGTGAAAAAGAAAAGAAAGAACAGATTTTGAGTAATGCATTGACTGGATGTTGTCAGATATTGCTGAATTGCATCAAGCACAGGTCAGAGTGCTCTATTCTAGTTCATTCTATTATTCTGTTATATATTGAAATATTATATAATTTAACAAGGTATGGTAGTGAATATGTTCTCTTACCGTGTCTGAGAGAGTTCTCTGTCAATTTTATGAAGAGATTTTCCTTTGGTTTCTGGTAGTACAAGGTAGATGAACACAACTGCTGCCATTCCGATAACTCCATACACAAAGAATATTCCCGATAGGCCTATCACATCTGAGAAAAATGAAAGTCGTTGAAATATGATGAAAATTATTTGCAAATACATTTCATATGATGACGACTGACTTTGTGTGTGGCCGTGGTCGTTGTGCATACCTGTTATACTCAAGAAAGAAAAGGTAACTATGAGGTTGGCCCCCACGTTGAAGCAGTTGATGAATGAATTGGCTCTTCCCCTGACTTCCTTTGGAAATATCTCACTTAGCACAAGCCATGTCACTGTGAACCAAATATGCAGTTTCATGCAATTAAAGTAGTAGCTGTTGTATGGCATGAAATATTGGTAGATGATGGAATTTCTGTGCCAATAGACGCACCAAACAGCTATTTGGACATCACTGTTTTGACAAATGTTTAGCAAAACACACTGGAGATAATGTTAATTGTATACTCAAACTGACAGACAGTTCTGTTTGGTGCTGCCAGTGGCACTGCATCTTTAACTACAGTAAATGTAGGTACCACTCCAAGAAAACTTACTTGGTCCAAAGCTGACTGAGAAGGCACTCACAACTGTCATCATGCAGATAAAAATAATCCACTTATACATGTCCTCTGAGTGTGAAGAAATATTTGAATCATGTGTTTCATGTCCAGTAGATGGAGTGCTTTGATTGACCAAGATGTTGCCCATGTTTTCTTGATTTTCAGCCGGTGAGGTCAAATTTGAATGTGGTTCTAATGAAGTGCACTGTTTTGTTGTATCAATCACTGACTGTCTGCACAACAAACCAGTAAGTATCAATCCTATAGCCAGCACTGTGCATCCACCAATCAGGAGTGATCTTCGACCAACCTTGTCTGAACATATCATTGCCAACAGAGTAGCAATGACTTTGACTATACCCAGACCCACTGACGCAAGAACTGCAGATGCGTTGCTCTGAAATCCCACAGAGAAAAGGATGGTGGAAGCGTAGAAGAGGACATTTGGCTGACCTGTGAATTGTTGACTGAGCACCAGCCCAAGGCCAATGGCAGTTCTTCTCAACATGTTGTCTTTGGTTTTGAAAAGGTCAAACACACTATATTTAACTTGTTCTGTTGGGTGCTGATTCGACATTTCCCCTGCTAATCTATCAGATTGCTGGCTATCGTCCTCTGTTACAAAGCCTTCAGAGGTACCGGCTGTCTGAGGTAAAAACCCAATGGACACCAACTGCATAAGAGATGGTATAATAGCAAATCCAAACATGTACCTCCATCCTGCTTGGACACCAGATAAAACGTAGTTGGCCGCATAGGCCAACAAGATCCCAACTGTAATTCCAACTTCGTACAGGGTAACCATCAACCCTCTGCGTTCGGGAGCAACCATCTCAGAGACAAAGATGCAGCAGCTCATGGAAGAAATGCTCATTGCAAAGCCAATGATGGCCCTCCCAACCACCAATGCCAAAAAAGATATGCTTGTAGTTAGGATGATGGTGCCTCCTAAAATGAGGAGGTTACTCAGTAAAATGGATGTCCTCCTGCCATGACGATCAATCAGCCAGCCACCAATCACAGATGCTGACAATGATCCGATCAGTAGAGCGCTAACCATGGCTTCCTGCTGGACACAACCCAGATAGAACTGAGATTGAAGCTGCGGCAGAGCGCCGGATATTATTCCAAGCTCATAGCCGAACACTAGGCCACCAAGAGTGGACGCAATGATAGTGAGCACCAGGACAGACCAACCTAGAAAAGAGAAAGTAGCACACAAATAACACAGAAGATAACTTTGCAGCTGGGATGGCCTGCTCATACACTCTTTAAAATAAAGGTTCCTTATTAGCATTGATGATTCCATGAAGAATCTTTAACATCCATGGAACCTTCCACTGCACAAACGCTTCTTCAGATTATTGAAATATTATTCACACTAAAAATGGTTCTAAGAACTGTTAACAGAAAGGTTCTTTGTGGAACCCAAATGGTTCTTCTATTGCATCCCTTTGGAATTAAGAGTGTAGGGTGAACCAGGACTTTTCTTGGTGTTCTGAGAATCTGACTTACCTGCTCAGGATGTCTTTTAACCAGCAGTTTAAAAAAGTCATGTATAAAATTACAACATGTACTACCATCCTCAGGCACTGGGATGTGCTGCCACCATGGGTAGCATATTTTTACGTGACTGGACTAACCTACAACCCTAAGGCTGATGATAAACGGAGCAACTTTTTGAGCAATTTTGCCGGGCAACTTTTTTTGAGCAATGTTGCTTTTGCACTTTCCCATTGAAAATGGGTAACAAATTTCCTTCTGGATACTTTAGATCGGTCGTGGGCCCTGTGTCTCACCTGGTTGCCCGTTGATGGCAACATTGCTCAAAAAGTTGCCCCATGTATCATCAGCCCCACATTACTCCAAATATAGTGTTGGTAGATCATCCTGATCGATAGGCCAGCTTTTCAGAACACTCCTCAACTTAAAAGTATGTTTATTTACAAATGGTTTAAAAGTAGAAAAAGTCATATTTCAGAAGGTGATCTTAAATTAGAAGAAATAGGAAACATACATATGGTCATAAACTATGACCTGCATTTTATAATAATTATACATGTTGTTCTAGATTAAGTACTGCAATATCACCATGCAGGGTATACATATTTCTAAACAGATAACTGATATTAAAATCTGTCGTATTTGTTTGCTATTGAGATAACCATAATCAATTACAATACTTTCTTCCTTAAAATGACATGCTAAAACACAAATAAGCATGGAACAGGTCTGACACTTACCCATTTTTTTAACAGATGCTGGCTCATCAAATACGCAACAAGTCTGTCTCGTCCGGGAATATAATCTATTTCCAAAACATAAACATAGCAAATGGGAACAGCTAGGTTTAAAGTTCTTCTAGTTGTCTAGTCGTCCTAGACTCTCCGCTTGATTCTGAACGCTGTCACCATGGCAACTCCCGTGTCGGCGCTATTGATTTCATTAGAGCGGATCTCTTGAGTGCGTTTCTAATTAGCTATAAATAACCTGCAGCCCTGTCCGCACAAAACTACGACACTTTAGGATTAATGTGTTGCTTTAAAGTTTTCTGAAGCCACTGTCAACGCTACAGAATAACATCTGCAAGACCAACCCGTTATTTTTAAAACAGAAGTGGGGGGAAAAGAGGCTGGCAATGCTTCCACCGTTTAAACAGTCATTAGCCGACTACACGTAGCTACCGCTAGCCCGCCTTCTCACCTCAGACCAGATGTTTTATCCCGATAGAAAACGGACGGAATCAAAAATGTACATTGTTTCAGATTATACGCGGTCCACATAGTCACTGTAAAAGGGAATCGCTACTGTGGCGCATCATAGTTTTGTTTTCGTCTGCCTTTTGTTCTGGCAAAGTTTCGTGGCTCCTCTTTCAGAGCTGTGGTCTGTTCATCCGAGCAAGTCGCGCGACGTGGCAGGAGGCTGAACTCTTCCTTAAACTGAGACTCCTTCAGCCTTCCTAAATAAAGAAGTTCTGATGCCATTCATCTTATCACAGTAACTGCACGTCGTACTTACCAACACCTTTAATATAAATATAACATAAATCATATAGTAAATATCAAACTAATTCATAATTAATCTAAGAAATAGCAGTATCTTTGTTTTAAATAGTTTCACCAGAGAATCAGACAGCCTGTCATGAAGACTGGTGATAGTAGAATCGTTAAAGTCGACATAAAAAGCCTATTAGATTCGGACACTACACTGCAAAAACTCTAAATTGCGAAAACATTTGTGTCATAGCAATACTAGAGCATTTCGTGTAGATGAGTGGAAGAGAGAAAAGTGAGGAGTGATTCTGTGAGGTAAAAAATGCACTATAACTGATGGGAATTTGGGTAATAGTTTACAGTATGTCAGGTTTTTTTTTTTTTTTTTTTAAAGATTATGGGACGAGGAAGAAACCAACGACACTACAATGTGGGGGAAACACAGTAAGAGATTATAGATGTAAAATGGTTATAATAGGACTGCGCTCTGGCATGATGCAAGTACACAGTTAGAACGGTAGGTGGCGGTATGCGCTTGTGTTTAGAATAAAAGAAGAAGCGTAAGTAGCATTTTTCCCCGGAAGCAGAGAGCACGTGGTGTGTCGCAGGCTTAGGGTGGAACATGGCCCACACGGACTCAGTCAAAGCGAGTGTCCCCTCGTATTTAAAGGAAGCACAGATGATTAAACAGGGCGCGGAAGCCCGTGTCTATCGAGGTACGTTTTTGGGTCGGTCCGTGATTATCAAAGAGAGATTCCCAAAATTATATCGCCACCCTGAAGTCGATGAGAAACTGACGCGCCGCAGAACCACTCAGGAGGTGCGATCCATACTGCGATGCAGGAGAGCAGGTCAGTGCACTACAACAGCAGAGCCTGCCTGCACACTGCAAGCGAGTGCTGCTGTCATAAATCTTTCATTTCAGTCAGCTGTCGATGCTGCATTCTCACAATAACAAGAGGGTTGATCGTTCACACTCGTTACATGTAAATGCAGACTGAGTGGACCTACTGTGTACAATATACGCAGTCAAGAAATAACTTATTTGACAGGCATAAAACAATATTGTCTCCGTCTCTATCATATTTTTTTTTCTCAGCATCTGTAGCCTAAAACTTAAGAGAGCAGAATATTTGTAAATCTGTAAAATCTACTGTAATTTATTTGAAATTCTAAATTTGTAGGGCAGAATACAGAGCTTTATTTTGTATTTGTTTATTCTTGTTTGAATTAAGTTAAATATTTATTTGACTAATCAAAAACGGTACATTATTTAAACTATACGCTCAAGAAAGAATAACCTAACCTTAACCTTGATCACAATAAGAGTTAAAACATCTGAAAGTATTTGGAAATCAGGAGAAAACGAAAAAGTCACAAGACCATGTACTTAAAAGTAGGGCTGCACGATTAATCGCATGCGATATTTAACGCGCATCTTAATGTGGATATTGTGGATGAGTTCTCCTGTGTCATCACGTTCGATTAGTTCTACAGCTTCAGTTTCGGAACTTTCACACTTAGTAAGTAACACATACAGCTGCTCCCTCACCACAGTGCAACAGTGAAAAGAGACCCCTTTCAAACAGTGTCGCGTTCCGAACGTTGTTTTAACGACATACGTATTGCGGTGTTTTAAAAATTCATATCATAACAAAAATAATCACCGGTATTCGGTATGAACCGGTATACCGCCCAGCACTACTTAAAGGGATGGATGAAAAATGAAAATTTTGTCATTATTTACTCACCCTCAAGTTGTTCCAAACCTGCATTAATTTTAGCTGTTGAATGCAAAATAAGTTATTTTGAGTAAGTAACCAAGCAGTTGCTGGTAATCATTGACTTGCATAATATGGAGAAAAAAAATACTGTAGAAATCAGTGGCTAACATCAACTTTTTGGTTACCAACATCCTTCAAAATATATTTTTGTGTTAATCAGAAGACAGAACAGGTGTGGAGCAACGTCAGGGTGAGTAAATGATGACAGAATTTTTATTTTGAGGTGAACTGTCCCTTTAAGGCTTCAATAAGGGAAATAACTATTATGAATATTTTTAAACGCCTATTTGCCTCTTAGCTGATTTTAAAGGGTCCTGCGGGGTGACAAATTACTTTTTTGATGAGTGCAAATAAGTGCATACATAAATATTAAGACTATTAATCTGCTAAACGAACAAATGTAAATGTAATTAACATCTACACTATATGATCGACTTCTGTTTCCTTTGTCCCAGGTATCAGCGCACCCGTTGTTTATTTTGTTGACTACACCACTCATTGCATTTTCTTGGAGGATATTATTCACTCAGTGTCAGTAAGAGACCACATTGCATCGGCTCAAGCGTCAGAACAAAACCCACAGCATCTCCAGACTCTAGCAGACAAGATTGGTGAAATCCTGGCTCAGATGCATGATGAAGATGTCATCCATGGTGATCTCACCACCTCCAACATGCTTCTGGTCAGTGGAGCTGAAGACCAGAACATGAAGCTGGTTCTGATCGACTTTGGGTTGAGTTATATTTCTGCTCTACCAGAAGATAAAGGCGTTGACCTGTACGTGTTGGAGAAAGCTTTTCTCAGCACTCATCCCAGAACAGAGACTTTATTTGAGAGACTTCTGAAAAGTTACTCTGCTTCATCCAAAAAGTCCTCCGCGGTCATCAAAAAACTGGATGAAGTTCGATTGAGAGGTCGGAAGAGGTCTATGGTGGGATGAAGTGCATTACACCATATATTCTGGCATTGAAATGGTTTCACACAGGATTTGCTTCAAGCTTACAGCTGTAGTTTGATGTTGGAAGTGTAGTCTTCTTTGAAGTACATGAATGTGTAAAGTTGTTCGACACAGTGAACATTAACGTAATGAATGCTTTAAACTCAAATTCTCCAATTCAGTCTGAGTGCATAATAGACAAATGCACACCCTCGACTGAAGACTGATTCAAACACGTGGAAATCCACTGATGTCTGGCCAACCTGATCGATTTTTAATGAATTTTGGCAAAGAGTAACTTTTTTTTTTTCTTTTTCTTACTGTACTGCTTCATCTATGGTTACATATAATTAATATAGTGCAATAATAATTGCCAAAAAATGGCAGCTGAATTTGAGCCCTACTAAAAATACATGTGTAAACACGTACATCAACATGTTCAGTGTGCTTCCAAGACCTGTGAATTAAACCAATAAAAAAACTGGATTCACGTTTCGCCTTTGTAATGTGCATTTAAATCAGTAATATACCGTTTCTGGACATTCATGACTGATTGTCAAGTCAAATTAGCATTATTTATATACAGTAGTGCTTTATAACATACAGATTGTACGGAGAAAGGAGAAATAGATGGAGAAAAAACCCTTTGCAGAAACCAGGTTCAGTTGGGGGACTAGTCCTTGTGATGCAGCCTGGAAACATAAACTCACACATCAGAATTGAGGATTAATATTCAAAGAAATTTCATCAGGCATTGCATCCTTCTGCTAGAAGATCAGCAAACATCACAGCAGCGTTAGGAGAGAGGGATGAGATGTAGTCTGTACAGAAACATGACGGTAGAGCTGCTGTGATGGTATAAAAACAATGACAAAAACATGCAAATATAAGAATGTTCATGAATTCTCAAGTTATCTCCAAATAAAAAAAAAAGATCATTGTAAATACACTGTTAAATATGCTAATGTTAATTCATTAATACATTGTACATGTAATACAAGATTTGTTCTGGTTGTACAAAAATACAACTTGTTTGATAATTATCCTAAATATATTTGCATCCTCGATGTTGCATTCCTGCCTCTTGTTGTATCAGAAATAATGCACTTTTGTCACTGTACTCCTTGATTTAATGATGAAAATATAGCATTTTTATACAAAACATACAGTAAAGATACAAAAATAGAGAGATCAGTACATTTTGCCTGACCAACAAAAATAAAACACTTTTTCAACATAAATCAAAAGCACAAATTAAAAAAGTTTTATCTAAAGCAATAAGCCGACAGAAGAAATATAAAATACATTGTCATTCCTGCTGATGGCACAGAGAGCATCCTAACCACAGGCTGAGGTTATTAGGCAAAATGGTCCAAAAATAAAATCCATAAAAACATTATAATAAACGATAAATTAAATATAAACAAAAACCAAACAGTATTTTCCTAAGAGCATCAAGGCTGTAGGACATTACACTCTTAAAAATAGATTTCCGTAGCGAAAGAAGAGAACCTTGATTTTTAAAGGTGTTCTGCAGAAATGCATCTAGGTGAAGTCTCTGTTGGTGAGAATCATAGGAGCAACCAGACTCCAGGTGTATAATGAGAGACAGACCCAGCTGGATGAGATTTTCACCCACACTGCCGGCCACTTGCTCGTCATGGCATTGTAGTCTGCATCAGGACTGATTTGACAATAAAAATCAATGATATAATTCAGCATATAATTATATACAGTGCCTACTGTTGTGTGTGTTTCTACTTTTCTATTCAAATTGTTCAAGAATTCTACATCGTACTTCAGTGATCAGTGGAAAACACACACCTGTACCAGTTGGTGAGAGTCATCATGATATAAAGAGACGCCAGGAACAGCATGAAGTGAAAGAAAGCGTAGCTGTACTGAACAGTGTCTCTTTCATTGTCCTCCACAATTGGTGTTGTGACCTCTTCTGCTATCTCAGGACTCACTGTGCAGCTTTCATCCACGACTGTGGTATCTTTAGCTGCTAAGGTTAGTTTATTAACTTGACTGGTATTGGAAGAGCGTATACTGTGAAGAAGAAAAAAATTAAAGCTCTTTATGGCATAAGCATTAGTATGGCCCATCTGGATACTTATGTTGTGTTCAATATAATGTCTTCAAGAATGTTTATTAATCTATTAAAACTTCGTCAAAAGCTTGGACACACACATTCCCATGCATGCTTCAAAGTTGTTGGTTATCTGGTCCAACTTATCAATTATCCAACTTATCCATTAAAAAAAAGGTACGAGGTAAAAGTAAATAGGTAAATAATGTGCATTTATTCAGATGTGTTCCAGTTTTACTGGCAGTTAGTTTTTTCAAAAAAAATAAAAAAACATTTTTTTTAAATAATTTTCTGGCATCCAAGGTACGAGGTAAAAGTAAATAGGTAAATAATGTTCATTTATTCAGATGTGTTCCAGAGTTTTACTGGCAGTTAGTTTTTTCAAAAAAAATAAAAAAACATTTTTTTTAAATAATTTTCTGGCATCCACACGTCTGTCTTTTATGGAAGCCCGTTTCCGCCACTGAATAAAAAAATAAATAAAAAAAAGGTAATAGCGACTTTTTGCACGCAATTGCGAGTTATAAAGTCAGAATTGCGAGTTAAAGTCCAATTTTGAGGGGGGAAAAGACTATGTTCTCAGAATTGCGAGTTTATATCTCAAAATTCTGACTTTACTCGCAATTGCATGTTATTAAGTCATAACTGCAAGATATAAACTCAGAATTCTGAGAAAAATAGTGACAACTGAGTTGGTGTGTAGCTGAATTAATTAATACAAACAATATTACTGGCACCTTCTAGGAGTAGTTACAAATAATTTGATTTGAAGCAAATCTTTTCACATTACACTTGTTAGGAGCCTACAGTACAAAAATCACATATTCAGCCAGTTAGAATGGAAAAATTACTTTTCCTGTTTTGTGTCACCTTGTTTAAACAAGAACAGACGAAAGAAAGAAAAACAGGCACTAGACCAGGGGTGGGTAAACTTGGCCCTTCCAGGCCACTTTCCTTCAGAAGTTAGCTCCAACCCTAATCAAACACACCTGAACCAGCTAATCATTTTCTTCAAGACTACTTGAAGGCTACAGGCAGGTGAGTCATATCAGGGTTGGATCAAATCTCTGCAGGAAAGTGGCCTGGAAGGGCCAAATTTGCCCATCACTGCACTAGATCATAGCCAAGCATGGACAATCTCAAGGCTACAAGCACATCTCCAAAGACCTTGATGCCACTGTTTTCACCATACATAATGTTATCATGAAGTTTAAGGCCCGTGGCACTGTAAGTGGCCATAAGAGAAAACTTGAAAATTATGAATTATCTGAAAAAATTGCAAGAGTGCCAGACAACAACTGTATATATCACATTAAAAACACTATACCTTGAATACAAAATGCAGAGAACAAATATGGCCAGTCCGACGATGCTTTGAGCGTCCCACCACTGCAAATACGGGGCAGATGGCACAGTTTCCTCTATGTCTACAATGATGACGGCAGTCTGGTTCTCCATCTCCAGTGGGGCGACTGCGGGGGACGTGATCTGCTGGAAGATGCTGATCAGACTCGGGTTGCATGTGCGGTCTGGAGATGAGGGATGGACACACAAACAAAACGACAGATCTTGAAACTGAGCAAATTCAGCCATTTGAAAGCAAACGTCTGAAGTTTTCCAAGCTTTCCAAGTATCAGCTAAAAGCAAGGTCAAACATTCTGAATATCAACTAAGTCACATGGTCTAATTTAGCAATGACAGAAGACAGAGATTAAATGTATAAAAACCTTTGTGAAGCTGCTAATCTGGCTCATTGGTCATGGCTGACCAGGTGAAGTACATGGTGTACAAAGTCATAATGGATGACTGAAGAAGACCAGATCTGGGCTGGTATTCCTAGAATTATACACATCTCATTTCACTGGACTATAAATCACAAAGGGAGCATAAATGATTCACTAAACATGAAATATACATAAGATGTCATTTCAAACGACAACTGTGTGGCTTAATAACGTTTATATGTCAGGTACAGGCTAGCGAATGTCTCAGAGAAAACACTTGTAACTGTAAATACCTGAATTCTGGGCAGTACAGACAGAGCAGAAGCTATGACACATAATAACATGTTGAAGCAGATGAAGAACTTGTTAAGCACGCATCCTTCTGGCTGAGCGTAGATGTTATAGCAGAGAACTGCAGCCGTGAAGGACAGAATATAGTTCACTCCTGTTACCGACAGCAAGGCTAGGAGGAAGGAGCGTAAAATTACTCAATATACATATTATGACAAATAGGTTTACATACGTAACATGTTTACCTACCTATATACCACCTCTTTCGGTTTTCCTTTTCCATTTTTTCAACCCAGGATTCGTTCCACGAGTGGGCAAAGTCAATAAGCAAAACCAGCTGAATCAGAATAAAGCAAAATGCTCCACAGCTGCCCACAATAAACCACACTAAAGAAAAAGACAGAAATGAACTTCGATTTTGTGCAAACCCAAATTGAGCTGGGCATGAAGAATAAAGACCATATGATTCATGAAGACCTCCAAAAACATGCAAAAAACACTGTTTTTCCTTTGCCCATTCAACTGAACTAAATGATGAAGAACAATGGCACTAGAGGTGATGCATAAGCAATGCGCAATAAGTTATTACATTAATAATAATAATAAACAGAATAAAAAAATCCTCCGCCAAGTACAAACTGCTCAAAAAAATAGTTAAGTAAAATTAGAACAATTAATGTCCTTACTGTTGTTATACATGTGTATTTGGGAATGAGGGCTGACACATATTTTAATTGACAGCATGCAATGATTTAAACACACAGGACTTCCATATACTTATACTAGAAAAGTCAAAAACCTTGTCTGACAATATGACGGGACGGCAAGAGCTGTACCTTGTGATAGTTACACTTTTGAAAGGATAGTTCACCCAAAAATGAAAGTTCTGTCATCATTTTCTCACCCTAATGTCCATGGCTTATGTTCATCTTCAGAACACAAACATTGTGACATGTGGCCGAGTATGGTGACCCATACTAGGAATTAGTGCTCTGCATTTATCCCATCCAAAGTGCACACACACAGCAGTGAACACACACCCTGAACACACACCTGGAGCAGTGGGCAGCCATTTTTTTGCTGCGGCGCCCGGGGAGCAGTTGGGGGTCCGGTGCCTTGCTCAAGGGCACCTCAGTCGTGGTATTGAAGGTGGGAGAGAGCACTGTACATTCACTCCCCCCACCTTTGGGTAACCTTTGGGTTACAAGTCCGACTCTCTAACCATTAGGCCACGACTTCCCTAGGTTTGTTGTCCATCCACTGAAAATCCATAGAACCAAACTTTTTATCACTCTTAAAAAAGTATGAAAAGACGTAGTAAAAGTATTCCACAT